GGTGACACGTGTCAATAATCCTAGCACCCACGAGACTAAAGGAGGAGTTCACATTCAAGGCTGCTTGCATCTATTCCAAGGTACAGTGAGACAGACACTGTCTCAGAACCCCAGGGGGATAGCCCATATCAGCAGATAATGCACAATATAAAATTCATTATGTTAATATTTACTCATAATTCAGTGACGTGGAGTATACATGTAATGTTTTCATCATCGCTCCACTCACAGCATACTGAACAAAGATGCATTCACTTTTTTTTCTGTTGTTAAAGGCTCATAGATGGTTGACTAATATATTTTAGTAGCCATTTCATTTATTTATATCTAATATCATTAACAAGGTTATAATTTTTATTTCAGATGAAAAGCCTTGAAATTCTAAATTCCAGTGCTTTTTTTACCTAATTTATAAATTACCAAGGCAGTTCAGACAGAGAGTGGTAAGAGCTGGATTTTTAATGCAGCTCCCTTTACTCCAACATGGGATTTCTGTGACTAAGTATTATCAAAGCTACGTTATCATATACTTGTGAGATGCACACATGTCACAGCATGCGTGTGGAGGGAGGACATCTTTGGAGTCAATTCTCCCTTTCCTCTTTTAATGAGTCCCAGGGGTAGAATTCAGGTCGTCAAGCTCAAGCAATAAGTTTTGTTTCCCAGTTATATATCTTGCAGCCCTAGTTGTCTGACTCAGCGTTCTCTCTGTCCCTGAACTGAGGCTACACTTCTGTGTTTCTAGACTCTAGTTGTCTCTGTTGAGCACTTCATGTAGCCTGAGGTACTGAGTCTGACTTTTATCTCCGAGCCCACTTGGTTTTTCATCCAATATGTCTAGCCAGTACTGGGTTTGAGTTGCGGGCAAAGAAGTAAGTGTTGGGGGCAGTGCTAATTATCTCTTGCTTTGTGTCCCATTGTCTGAAAACGTCACGTTTTAAACAGCAGTAATCTACTGGAAAGTACTGACTGTGGGGGCTGTCTGAGGCTGACTTTGACAGAGAGCCTGTGAGAATGCATGAGGCAATGTGATTTCTGGTCTGAGCCTACAGGTTCTACCTCCCCCCACACTGAGACAGATCTGTGGTATGAGTTTGAAGCCTAAGAACAGGTGTCTGCCATGGGAGGAGAGCTTCTGACCTGAGACCCACACCAAATCTTGAAGAGTCCTGGCCAGGGGTGGGCTCTGCACCTGCAGGCCATCCTGACCAGTCCATCCCAGAGCCAGCAAGAACCAAATGACATCTCAACCTTGAAATACCAGCCACAGCTGTCCAGCATGGAGCACTTGGCGCAGACGATGCCTAGAAGAGGTGAGGTGGCAGAAAGAGCAGAGTGTGGGTTCCTTGGGAAAGCTTGGAAAGCTTGATGCTCTTGTCGTGGAAGTTCATGTGGGTAATACTGACTGTACAGGATAGACGTATTTGTTAGCTTGACTGTGTGTGTGTGTGTGTGTGTGTGTGTGTGTGTATCTATACATGTGCATGTGTGTAGGCTCACGCATGCTGCAGAGCATGTGTGGAAACCAGAGGACGACTTGTAGATATTGGTTCCCTCCTGGGGATGGAACTCAAGTTGTCACACTTGAAGACAGGAACCTTCACCTGCCGAGCTGTCTTCCTGGCTCCATCCTTTCATAGAGAATATATTTTAGTATACTTTAAAAGTGGTGGTAGAAACTAAAAATAGGCCTTTCCTGTTTCATCCCTTATTCCCGGTTCCTACTTCTCAACAACAGTCACTTGAACATTTTTATCTGGGTACTCAGTTGCCATTTTTCTGAATAACATCTGTATATTGCTAATTTTTGATTTATCAAATGTTTATGCCTTCTATAATTCACATCAGGACTTTTTCTCTTTCTTAGAGAAATACTGTGTTGCTGTGTAGCCAGTAGGGTTATTGGACAGTTAACCTCCTGAAACTTTTATCAGACCTCATGCATACTTTTGTGTTATGTGTACGTTCGGAGTCTGTGGAGATTGATGTGGTATCTAACAGTTCTTGTGATGTTGCAGATCAAGTTTCTCGAGGATCTTTTAGCATCTGGTCATAAAGCTCTCCACATTCCTTTGTCTGGAACTCTGAGTAAGTCTGTTTTGCTTCTCTTTCCTCAGCTTGGTGTTCCCAGGACTCTGCATTTTGCCAGGAAGAAGAGGACATGACCAGATCTTTTGTACGTTCTGAACATAATTTCCCCTGCATTGTTTTGCAGTACAGTTGTTTTGGGTTACTGTAATCTACCACTAAACTGGGAAAAGCGAAATGAGTGGAAGTGAAGAAAAATACAGAGTGAATAACTGAGAGGGGGGGAAGTATGGCTTTGGAGAAAGGAGTGCTGCAGAGTTACTCGGGTTGGATTCAAAGTCAGATATTATGGAGAGACTTGAAGTGAACAGAAGACATAAAATCTGTTCCATAACTTGTAGTTTCTGAGGAAAAGACTACTTAAGGAAAGCAAAAGCTTTTTGTTGATACTGAAACCAAAAAATGCATTCTAAAGTAATTCCCTGATTTTTGTTGTTTTAAGCTCAATTTTTACAAGTAAGTCTTGGCTAAAGAAAAATTATATAGAATAGTATGTAAAATGTGCATACCACTTTAGAATAATCCTACTCATATGATTTTTGTTTGCTTCTCAGTTTGAACTTTTGATAGCAAGTTAAACTAAATTATATGGATATTTTGTGGCATCCTTGCAGTTCTGTTGTTTGTAACCTTCCAGCTCACTCTCTTGATCTCTCTCTTTCCTCTCTCTCTCCCCCTCTCCTCTCTTGTAATGGTCTTAGAAGATGCGAGAGTCTTTTATTTGGGTTTTTTGTTTGTTTTGTTTGTTTGTTTTTGTTTTTTGAGATAAGGTCTTGCTATGAAGCCTTGGTTTTCTGGAGCTTGCTTTGTAGAACAGGCTGGCCTCAAACTTAACGGTGCTCTGCCACCTGCCTCTGCCGCTCAAGTGCTAGGATTAAAAGCATGTGCTGCCATATCCTGCCAGAATAATTTTAAACATTTTTTCCTGTATTTATTTGCATGTGGAGGGTGGGCAACAGTATGTATGCTGTTGTGTAAGTGCGGAGCACAGAGGACAACTTGTTAGAGTTAGTTCTCCTTCACCATATGGATTCCCAGGACTGAACTCAGATCAACTTGCTAGAGTTAGTTCTCCTTCATCATATGGGTCCCCGGGACTGAACTCAGATCATCAGGACTGGTGGTAGTGCCATTACTCACTGGCTCAGTGCAGTCTTACAGTGTTATCTATTTACCTCCACTCTTGATTCTTTCTGTTTGAAGTTGTTCATTCCTGTAGTTTGAACATTTTTTCCTTGACTGCATTTTTCTTCAGCTCTCATCGTTGTGAAGCAGATACACACTCCTTTTGCTATATGATCTAGAGCAGAGGTTCTCAACCTTTCTGTGCTGTGGCCCTTTAATACAGTTCCTCATGTTGTGGTGACCCCTAACCATAAAATTTTTTTTGTTGCTACCACAGAACTAATTGTGCTACTGTTATGAATCATAATATAAATATCTTTGTTTTCTAATAACCTTAAGTGACCCCTGTGAAAGAGTCATTCGGACCCCAAAAGTCACAGTTTACAGGTTGAGAACCATTTATCTAAAGGCTCATGAAACATTTTTCTCTTGTTGGCATAGTGGTTTTTTTTAAAAAAAAATATTTATTATGTATACAATATTCTGTCTGCATGAATGCCTGAAGGCCAGAAGAGGGTATCAGACCTCATTACAGATGGTTGTGAGCCACCATGTGGTTGCTCGGAATTGAACTCAGGACCTTTGGAAGAGCAGGCAATGCTCTTAACCTCCGAACCATCTCTCCAGCCCGGCATAGTGTTTCTCTAGCCCTAAACAGAGTTAAAGTTGAAATTTTGATCAGTAACTGTAAAGTGCATGACAGTGGATGGAGATGTCTCTTAATTTCTTTGTGCCTCAGTTTCATGACCCAGAATGGGAGTAGTAATGGAAGGCATCCCATAAGCATGCCAGGGAGTCGAGGGCACCAGTGCCCCAGAGTTGATTGCCATCCCTTATTCTCCTCAGCTGTAGAGTGCTGACTGTTCAGTACTTCAGTATAACCTAGAAGATTGGCTGATTGGGTTCATAGATTTACTTCTTCAGCAAAACTACCATACCTGCTATGAGAAGGCAAAACTAGGGATGTTTTCTTCTTATCTATGTATATACATGTATTTACATACATATATCACAAACACACTAATTCTCAAAAATCAATAATTAAGAAAAGAAAAAATGGACAAAGAAAAATTGAATCAGGAATTAGAGGAAATATAGGTGGCCAACAAATACTTAAAATTATGTTATAAAAAGACAATTTAGACTGGGCAGGGGTGGTACACACCTTTAATTGTAGCACTTGGAAGGCATGGACAGATAATCTCTTGAGTTTGAATCCAACCTGGTCTACAGAGCATATTTCAGGACAGCCAGGGCTACACAGAGAAACCCTGTCTTGAAAAACAAAACAAAAAAACCAAAATCAAACAAGACAATTTAATAGAAGCAGTTTTTAGGTATATTTTCAATTACTGAGCAGTCACCAGTTTTAGACTCACAGAATTAGGATATAGATGTTGTCCATGGTGGCTCTTAACTGTGTGAAGAATCCTCTTCAGTACTGTGTCCTAGCTTTGTGACTCTTGTGTTCCAGGTTATCCCACTATAAGCTATGTATAGCTTAATTCATGTAGCCATTATCAGAACGTTGTGGCAGATGTTATTTTCATTTTTATAGATAAAGGAAGTAAAAATAGGGTTAAGAAGCTTATACAATCAGGTACCAGTGTGTAATAAACTCAGGGTTCAAACCCTTGACTTTAGTGCCCACACTCTGGTGTGGCCCTGAGTAAAGAAGTGCACAGGTTTGCCTTTTGGCCTATCCCTATCATTTGTCCTTTTTATTCGTGCCTTAATGAGTCTGTGTTTTATTAGGTTAAAACCCGTTACTTGCTGTTAATATGGATTTTTATGTATGTATATAAAGGGAGTTCACAAATTAAGAAAATAGACTAAATTGTAACACTTATTGTACATCTTAAACAGCCAGTCCTGGAATTTGCTCTGTAGACTAGACTGGCCTCGAACTCACAGAGATCTGCCTGCCTATGCCTCCTGAGAGGTGGAATTAAAGGCATGTGCCCCTGCAACCAGGCCAGTTTGTCTTTTGGGGTTTTTATGATTTATTATGTATACAGTGTCTGTCTGCAAGTATGCCTGCACACCAGAAGAGGGCATCAGATCTCATTTACAGATGGCTGTGAGCCACCCTGTGGTTGCTGGAAATTGAACTCAGGACCTCTGGAAGAGCAGTCAAAGGTCTTAACATCTGAGCCATCTCTCTAGCCCTCAGTTTGTCTTTTTTAAGTGTGTAATTTTTTAATTTACTGTGTGGAGTGTGTGTGTATGTGGTGTAGGTGGATGAATGTCTGTATGCCACGGGGAGCACACAGAGGTGACAGGACAACTTCAGGTGTTGATTCTTGGCTTCCACATGTTCTGTTGCTGTGGTGTGTACTCCAGGATAGCAATCCCACAAGCTTCCCACAGATTCTCTTATGTCTGCCTCCCATCTCACCATAGTAGTGTTGGATTACAGGTGTGTACCACCACATCCAGCTTTTTGTATGGGATCCAGAGATCAAACTCAGGTTATCAGGCTTGCTCAGCCATCTCCCCAGCCCTAAATTGATTTGTCTTTTATTAAATTTGTAAGAGTTATTTTTTTTTCATATCCTGTCCAAGAAAACATGGCCTAACCTGACCTCTTGGTTTCTCTAGGCTCCTTTGAATGAAGAATTGTCTTGGACCACACATTAAACACACAAACACTAATAAAAATGTGTAAATTAAAACCATGTATAGGGCAGATGAAAAGACTCAGCAGACAGAGTGTTTGCTGTCATTATAGCTCGGGGTATATCTCACTTGATAGAGTACTCTCTCTAGGTGGAAGTGTCCTTTCTTGGAGTCGTTTCCCAAATAAGCACACAGAGGCTTAGTATTACTTATAAATGCTCAACCAATAGATCAGGCTTATTAAAGGAGTGGGTGTGGCTACAGTGACTTGCTGTTGGCTCTGCCCCATTCCTTAGCTTCCTGAGAGTCTAACTTCGTGTTGAATGTCCTGGCTGGAGTCACGTTTACCACTCCAACTCTGAGAAGTTTCTGAGTCCACACTGCTTATAGGTAGTGTGCCACCCACTGCTCATAAACCCCATGGAATTGTTTGGTGGCAGGGCCTCTCAAAAGAGACATGCCATTTTTGCTGCTAATGCTAAGTCAGGAAGCCGTGCCTCTGCTTGCTGCTAGCAAACAGAGCCTATCCTAGAAAAAGCAGTTACTCAGAAGCCAAGTTTGACTCCATTTTTTTTTGTGTGTGTATGTGTTTAGAATCATTTTTAAAGCTTTTTGAGGCTTTATGTGGAAATTCTTGCCTAACTTTTGGGTGCCATGTGTAGGTGGAAGTTTCTGTCCCACAAACAGCTTCCCAAATTATCACACAGAGGCTTAATATTACTTAGAAATTCTCAACCAGTAGCTCAGACTTATTAACTAGCTCCTACATTTTAAGTTAATGCATATTCCTTATTTATGGTACCTTTCTCACTACTGCATGCCCATCTTGCTTGCTCTGTGTCTGGCTGACATCTCCTTACTTTGCCCTTCTCCTTCCCATCATCCTTAGTTTGGTTGCTCTACTTTTACTTCCTACCTGGCTACTGGCCAGGCAGCATTTTATTAAACAAATTCAAGTGACAGATCTTTACATTGTACAAGATCATTCCACAGCAGCTCTCCTGTCTCTATCCCTGAGACCCACATAGTGGAACTTAAAGTGTCAAATGCTCGTGATGTTCTCTACCATAGATAGACAGCAAAAAGTAGTGCTCACATAGTCTTAATTATTTGGTGCTCCGCTCAAAGACTGTTAAAATCACCAAGCAGGTCCACTTGTGTTAGATATCTATAAGAAATAAAACTTCAGTGACAGGGTGTGCTTTTTATTATCAGTGTAAAAGAAGAAAGGGCAACTGACTTAAAACTACTGGGATACTAACACCGTGAGAAGCTAACACAGTGCTCTCTGCTTTGATGGATATCGTTGAAGGTCTCGAAGTGTTCATCAGATATTTTGGTTCTAATTTTACTCTTAGTATGCTTCATTCTTGAAAGTAGTTTCTCAGGAGCTGTAGAAAGCAGCTAAGAGTACTTGTTACTCTTGCAGGAGACAAGATTTAATTCCTAGCACCCACATGGTAACTCTGACATCATTAATTTCAGTTCCGGGGGACTGCATATACATGTGCTGCATATACATGTGTGCAGACAAAACATTCATGAACATAAAATAAAATAAATTTAAAATAAAATTATAAAAACAGAAGCCATTTCTTTAGTTACATTATAGGTTTTTTTCATCAATGTCTCTGGTAAAGGTAGCCCATAGAGCCACATGAAGGATCAACCCTGCCATCTACTGCTGAAGTGTACAGTTTCAGACTAGCAGCTCTGCTCTCCAGGCTTGTTTTGATAGGCGTGCCGGTGTCTTCATTCACCTGGTATAACTAACTTTAGAAATACCCCTTTCTTCAGGCCTGAGCAACAGTCTCCCCATGTTGCCTAATGAACTCACCCTTAGTAAATTGTCTGTCTTTGTTATTAAGTGTGGTGCCGTGTAACTAATTAGCTTTTACAGTAGAATCCGAGATAGAACTTGAACATTATTTATTAGTGCACACAGAGGACAACTTTTGGGAGCTAATTTTCCCATCCTACTGTGGGGGCTTGAACTTTGGTCATTAGGTTTGTATGACCAAAACAAAACAACAACAACAAAAAAAAACCCACTGAGTCATTTTCCCGGCCTTGAGTTGTAATTTAAAAATAAATGTTGAAAAGATGAGCTGTTTTCCCTGCTACTATTTTCAGCCCAGAACACAGTTCTTGAAACCCATGGAATTTGGCAGCATGTTTTGCGTGTAATGCCTTTTATGTAATGCCTTCTTAAATTAAAGTCTTTGCACTTACACAGATTCCCTACAGAGTAATAAAAATGTCTGTTTACATTAACAAAAATGTAGTTATCTACTGTTTTTTGTTGAATAGTCTTGCTTGCTTCAGATATAGTCTTTTTGTTGGTTTGTTTTGTTTTGTTTTTTGTGATGATTTGTGGGATTTAAAGGGGAGGTATTTACTTTCATTATGCAAATTAACAGGAAGATACAAAACAGGGTTTGAACCCTTCCAACTCTCATCTGGTATGTAGCAGGTTTGAGGTCAGCCTGGACTATAGGAGACCCTTTCTAAAACAATAAAAATGACTCGCCACTCTATACTTCTGTTACATGCTCTCTTTAAACTCTAAGATTACTGATTGTATCTTATTCTTGATTTAGGTTTGACAAGTGTTTGTTTAATTTATTGAAAGTATTAAGGTATTAAGTTTTTAAAATAAGATACATAAGAATACAAATATATGTAAGTATACTTATAGCCTTTTAAAGTGTAAGATTAATTTATTTTTACATTATCAGTTCTTAAATACCAAGTATTTGCACTAAAGGTTTTCCTCCCTTGAGCATTTTACTTACTATTTTATATCTGTGAGTGTTTCTTCTGCATGTGTGTCACCTGTGTGCGGTGTCCCGAATCTGGAGTTAAAGAGGGCTCCGAGTCCCATGTGGGTGTTGGGAAGTGAACATAGGCCCTCAGAGGAGCAACCAGTGTTCTTAACTGCTGAGCCATCTCTCCAGTCCCAGCTGAAGGGTTTTATTTTTGTTTATTTCTTTGTTTGTTTGATTTTAATCATTCCTTCATTCCTCCAGTCTAAAATCTCTTTTAGCTTTCATTTTGAGATCAGGTTTCCCTACATTGTCCAGGTTGCTCTTTATCTTGGCTTCACGTATAATTACAGAGATAGGTCAAAATCTTCAGTAGTCTTGTGAGCATTTAATAAGTCTGGTTGGTCCAGTTTTGGGCGGCAGCAGCAAGAGTGTTTCATGTGTGCATTTGTGATGCGATGACTACACACCAAATGACTACCACACCAAAGTTTCCCACGTCTGGTTTATCAGTCTTCTCAGTGCAGTATTGATGATAGGAATAATCTTAATTCCTAGAAGCATTTATTGAAGCCTAGTCCTTTTGTAGTTGTCATTGTATGTCATCACATTTCTACTGATGAATAAATTCTATCCAAAGATTGGCTATATGGATGCTTTTCTTTCTTACAGATTTCTCAAACAAAGTATTTTCCCTTTTTACTTGGGTATTAGACATTTTTTTTTATTTAATAAGCTTTTTAAATTTATTATCAAAATCTGAACTTCTATGACATTTCAGTTGGGCTATTTCTTTTGTTTGTTTGTTTTGTTTTTGTTTATTCAAGTATCCAAAAAACACTCTTTCCACTTCCTCCCCTCCTCCCAATACCCTCCCGCTCCCCCCACTCCCTCTCCTCCTCCCTCACCATTCCCAAGAGCAGTCAGGGTTTCCTGTCCTGTGGGGAATCCAAGTTCCTCCCCCCTCCCTCCGGGTCCAGGAAGGTGAGCATCCAAACAGGCCAGGATCCCAAAAAGCCAGTCCATGCAGACGAAACAAGACCCAGTGCCATTGTCAATGGCTTCTCAGTCTTCATTTGGACCTCGGGGGCTCAGTCAGCCCCCATGTCATCCACATTCAGAGAATCTGGTTTGATCAAATGCTTGTTCAATCCTAGTCCAGCTGGCCTTGGTGAGCTCTCATTCGATCAGTCCCCTTGTATCAGTGGGAGAATGCACCCTTCGCGGTCCTGACTTCCAGTGCTCCAATGTGGGTCTCCGTCTCTATCTCCATCCATCGTCGGATGAAGGCCCCCTCTGATTTTGCTTTCCTTGCTCACGATCTCCCTCCCTCTGCTTCTCATTTGGACCTAGGGAGTTAAGTCCAGTGTTCCAATATGTGTCTCTGTCTCTATCTCCATCCATCGCCATATGAAGGTTCTCTCTGGGTAGAACTCCTCAGCAGTGCAACAGGGCTAGCTGGTCTTTCCAGGACCCAGGAGACAAAAGGGCGGCAGCAGTGGGGGCAGGGAGGGGTCCCGTGGAACACCGAAGACCCTGCTGCAGAAGCTGAGGGGGGAGGGGTTGTGCTCTCTTTGGGTATTAGACATTTTAAACAATTTAAAAGCAAGAACTAGTCATCAAGTCGCTTTCTTTTCCAGAAATACTTCATTTGTTTTTTATTTCCATTGTGCTATTATCATAGTATTATTTCTAATATGTTGATTGTAAATTAAAGCTTGAGTCTCTTTCTTGAATGTTTCATTTGGTCCTCTGTAGTCCTGTTAGCACTATATTACATGTTTTTTTAGCCATTCACACTCACTGGCCATGGAGTTAGCTTCCAGTTCTAGGTTGATGACTCACACATTCTCTTCTTCCATCCTGTGTCTGACTGCATGCTGCATGTTTTATCTGGAAGTCTACTAGGAATTCAAATATTCATGCCTTTTCTTCTTGCCTGCTTCTTTCTCTCGCCCTTAACTCTGCCCGGTTCCCTTTCTCACTAAAACCTCTGTCAGGTCTGAACTACTTACTCATCCCTGTTACAGTCAAGAGTCACTGGGTGCTGCTCTCTGCTAATAATGGAGGATAGAGTGCTCACTGAGTCGGTGATTCACATACTCTTAGAGGTATTGTCACAGTGGTATATTATATATTACCCCATTTACGCTCTGAAACTTGGTAAGGATGAAGACTTCAAAACCAGTTTTTAACAAGCTTTGACCCCTGTTTACTAGCTAATGGATTCTTACTTATTTTGATCACAGGCCCTAATTTTGATGACTTCAGATTAATTGGGATTGTGTTTTTATAGAAAACAGTGACATTCAAGGATGTGGCTGTGGACCTCACCCAGGAGGAATGGCAGCAAATGAAACCTGCCCAGAGGAGTTTGTACCGAGATGTGATGCTAGAGACCTACAACAACCTAGTAACCGTAGGTAAGGGAGCTGTCTAGTTACTGTGGACTTCCCCCTCTGCAGTGTGTGGATGAACCTTGCCTGTGCTCTGACCTTGAGGGTTGATACTAATGACTTCTGTAAGTTCCTTGATTCTCCTCCTTCCTACATCCTCAAGGTCTTTTCTGTTTCTGCAATAGGTGGTCCAGTCCCCAAACCAGATGTGATCCTCAAGTTAGAGCAAGAAGAGGAACCCTGGGTGGTGGAGGAAGAGATGTTCTGGAGACGCCCTGCAGGTGAATAAGTGAGAAGTAGCTCTGAGTGAGAAAGCCACGTGACAGTTGTTCAGTGAGGAGTTGCTCTCATTTCACATTTCCCATGACTGTGTTAAGTCTGTAAATGACAAAGGCTATGTGTGATGTACTGTTTATTAGGTTGTGTGACATTTCTATTCTAGGAATGACTCTCCCTGTTGGAGTTATGGTCTTTAATTTTTGAGGGGCAGAAACCCCATGTGATTTCAGGATACGGGCATTCTGGTGTATTTACGGCTTACCTTTATGATTATTGTACCTATGTTTGATCTTCACACACCCCCCCATGTTCATAGTTTATTTCCTTACATATTCAGCATTTCGTGGAGTGTGATATTTTAAAATCAGGTTTATTTTATACTTGGGTTTCCTTTATTTTTTGGCTTCACTAGACCCATGGTTTAGAAACTTAAGTTTCTAGCTTAGGAATGCTGTGGTGGCCTCTTCCTGCTTCCTTTCTTCTTTCCTTTTTGAAAATAGAGCATTTGCCTACTTGGTTAAAAATGGAACCATCCAGAAGATACATTTAAACAGTGTCCTTTGATCCTTCTCACGGTGTCCTTTGTTTCTGCAGTTGCATTCACTTTTGTCTTCAGAGCTCTTGTTTATTTTGCATGTATGTTATAGATCTAACTGTCTTATTTGGAGGAAAACATACTGAATTTTCCTAGGGCTGTGCTGGACTTGAGTTAACTTTAGCAGTTTGTCAAGCTCTTATTTTGTTCTCTTTCTATCTACTTTGAAAAATGGAACTTTCTAAATTTTCTTTTGTAGATCATGTAAATTGTTTGTTAGATTTACCTAAGCTTTTGACAAGAAAGAAAAACAAGTTCTTTTAGAACTAAAGAGGGATGCTGGGTGGTAGTGGCACATTTGAATTTACAGATATTGTATCCCTGGAAAATGCTAGAACTAGCTGAAAAAGTATGCCACGTTGTACATTGAGAGTCCATTGAGAGTGCTAGGAATATCTGTAACACATACAAACCAGCTTTCATAAATATTTCACAACTAAGTGGATATAAATGAAAGAATGAACATTATAGTAATAGCGGTAAAGATAAAATACTGTTTGGAGCATGGGCATGTAACTGCACAAAACAAAATCTACGTGGAGCTTAGAATTTAGAGAATTTTTGTTTGTGTGTTTGTTTTCTTTTGTTTGGATGATTTTTTTTGGTTTTTTTGTTTTAAGGGTGAATCTCTAGAGAACCCCATGCTGCCATTGAAATCCCTTGAAGTTGTGATTCTTCTGCCTTTCCCATTCAAGTGTTATGTTTTTGGGGTGCTGGGGATCAAACCCAGGGCTTTGTCCATGCTGGGCAAACACTCTACCAACTGAACCACATCCCCTGCCCAACTAGAGAAATGACTCAACAGTTACAGAGGACCTGAGTTTGGTTCCCAGCACCCACGTGGCAGCTCACAACCATCTGTAACTCCAGCCCCAGAGGTTCTGAAACCCTTTTCTAGTTTGTTGAGTGCCTACATGCATGTGGTACACATAATACATTCCAGTGTACATAAAAATATTAAAGATATCAGGAAAATACCTTTTTAAACTATTACATTTGACATGATTGGCTGTATCTAAAATTTTTAAGCCATGCTCTCTTTCCCAAAGGCTTATTGTATTTTCTGTGAGCTTTAGGCAATTCTGTGTTATTTTCTACTTTTAAATATTGTTGGAAAAGAAGCTTGGTTGCTTTGTGTCATAAATCACTTGCTCTGTTTGCCCATACAAGTAAACCAGGGTTTACAGGTGAGGCTGCTTTGTTGTATTTTCTTTAAGGCTTTAGAAGTCTTGCCAGCTATGATCAGAGTTTCCTTTTGACTTGTGATTCTTCCATCCTTTGTCCTTTGTTTGCTTTGTCTCTAGTGTTAGGAGTCAGCTTCCCCTTGTGTATTCTAAGCACAAAACACAAACAGCTCCCCCAACCCAAAGATTCATGGTTTTGCTTTTTATGCTGTTACATAGATTTGATAGTGGTCCTTTTTTTATTATCATTGTTCATCCTTAAATGGAGGTATTTTCCACTGGACCTACTACAAAAAGAAAAAAAAATGTACTGAGCTAATAATAGGAAATCTTTGTGCTTCACAGTGACCATGCAGTCAGGTTCAAAGTTGGGTTATCCATTATCCCAAGCTGCAGGGATTATCATTTTCATGCTTTCTTTAGTGTTCAAAGTTCCGCTCACCCTCCTGTGCCAGTAATCTATTAAACTAGAATAAGGTTTGTCTGCATCTGCTTACTCAATTGTGCCTTCCTTGCCATTTGTCGGGACCAAGGAAGTCCACTAGGTTCCTTCCACCAATGTCAACACACCTGGATCTCAGAGTTGCATGACACGTCTACGTTTTGCAGGACTCTCTTCCCTATATAGCTCATTCAAAATAAGAAATAGGTCTTGACTTCTGGAATTCTTCTCTACCTTAACCCAGCCCATGTTCTGTTCTTTCCTTATATTCTGGAGTTAAAGTTTCATTGAAGATGTATTTATTATTATGTACTCTGTGTTTGTAGGGTAGTGGAGACAGGTGTTTAAAACCACAATAAGTCTGGGAAGGCCTGTGTTTATCAGTCCCAAGGCCACTTTGTGCTTGGTCTGTGACATACTTGAAATACCCTGTGTTCTCTTGTGCAGCATTACTTGGTAAGCTTCCTGCTGACCTTTCCCCACTGGATGATAGCTTTCTGCTGGCTTTGTCCCCTTTCCCCTGCATCCGTATATAAGATGCTCCATTGCTTAACAAACGTGTGGCCCGAGCTGTCAGCTTACACAGTCCTCCTGACCCCAGCTTTTTGTCCTCTTTATGTTCTCATTCCTTCTTTTCTCCCTTGACACCACAGTTGAGGTTTAAAGCAGGTCTGAATTTCAAGTGACGCAGAGTTGACGGCACTGCAGAGGTGTGGAAAACCATAGGATGAGCTGATAGCAGCTGCAGCCAGAAAACCAGTGAATGGAGATGGTTGGCTCTTGATCACTTTATACTTTAATTGGAAATGTGGCTTATTCATTAAGCATATATAAAAATAAATTATAACTAGATAGTTGACATTCTCTTCGTACTTACTAAAAGTTTTGGATTGGAATTTAGTTTGGACAACCTAAATCTTCAGATACTTTCATAATTATTACTTTATGAAGACTAATGGACTTTGGGTATATAGAGTAAACAGATTTACCAGGATTCTATGATAGTTCATGTAGGCAAAAGTAATAAGAACTTGTGGTTTCATGTTTCTTGATGTAATGGAGATGTTGTTTTTCTTTTATATAGTTTATTTCAGTATGTGTGTATGTGTTTGTGCACATGAGTATGAGAGACAGAGGACAATATCGTCCTCAGAATTGCTATCCACTTCATTTAAGACAGAGTGTGTTACTTGCCAGTAAGGCTAAACTGGCTGGCCATTGAGCTAAAAGGATCCTCCTGTTTCCATGTGAATGTTGGGGAATTGAACTTGGGTCCTCCTGCTTGCAAGGCAGGCACTTTACCAACTAAGCTATCTCCTTGGCCTGATTTCTCTGTATTTTAATATGCATTTTTTAGTTTTCTCCAAAGTAATACTTGCAGTTGTTTAAGAAAGTCAATAGAAATACAGATCTTGCCAGCCTGGTCTATAGAGTGAGTCCACAACAGCCAGGACTACACAGAGAAACCCTGCCTCAGAAAACAAACAAACAACAACAACAAAAAAAAAACACAGACAAATTTTATAGTGGTATCCTATTCTAGCCTTATCTTTCACCTCCTTTGGTGAAATAATTTTTTAAAAAGGTAATGAAGATTTTCATGTTTTTTTGTGTACTAGACTGTACTGGTTAGATCAGAACCCAGAAGCTATGTTCATTGTCCCAAATACCAGTATCTATAGGTCTTTTATTTCTAATCTTTCTCATGTCCTACCTGGAGGTACAGCCTTTAGGACACTAAGGGTTGGAGGTCTCACAATTCAGTATATAAACATTCATATAATTCCTACTTTTTTTGTTAACATGTATCCTTCTATATCTGCTTGCTTCTAAGTCTAGATTATCTTTGGTTTATTTTCTCTAGCCTTTTTCTTGCCTGGGTTGTAAAGACCCAATCGTTAAAAAACATCTATCAGTGCTACTTAGATCTACAAATGTCAGGTTGTTGTTGTTTTCCCATAATATTTTCTGCAGGCGTTAACTTCATCTCTAAGAACTAGGAGGGGGCATTTGCAGTTTAGTTTCTTTTTTATTGGCGACTAAACCCACCTATAAAGATTCAACACCACATTAGCAAATTTCTAAATTGTTATGAATAGTTTAGTGATAGAAAATTTTACAAGTAATGATTTTTGGTCCTCCATTTTAGAAGTTTGGCAAGTTGATGAACAGATGGAGAAACAACAGGAAACACTTGTGAGGAAAGTCACATCCACCTCCAGGAAATCTCTGATTAAGGAAAATGTCATTGACTGTAAAAAGGTTGCAAAAGTCTTTCTTCTGAGCTCAGATGTTGTTCCTTCAAGACAAAGCCTCTATGACTGTGACTCACTTAATAAGTGTTTGGAACAAAACTTAGATATTCTTAGTTATGATAAGGTTTGTGTTAGAGATAATAACTTTGAATGTAATGAGTATGGGGCTCCATTTTATCATCGCTCACCCTGTGCCATAGCTCCCTTTAAATGTAATCAGTGTGGACAAGACTTCATTCATAAACTTGACCTCCTCAGGCATGAGAGAAATCATGCTGGAGAAAAACCTTATGGATGTAAAGAGTGTGGAAAGTCCTTTAGCAGGAAGGAAAATCTCATTACGCATCAGAAAATCCATACTGGGGAAAAGCCATATATGTGTAAGGAATGTGGAAAAGCTTTCATTCAAATATCTAACTTCATTAGACACCAAAGAGTTCATACTGGGGAGAAACCTTATGCTTGTAAGGATTGTTGGAAAGCTTTCAGTCAGAAGTCAAACCTCCTTGAACATGAGAGGATTCAC